AATAAGAAATGAAATATATTTCATTTATATAAATTATTATTGTTAAATTAAAATAATTAATTGATTAAAATTTTCATTTCATTTTGTTATTCAATTTTATTTATTGTTAATTTTTGTTCATTTATTAATTCTTTCTTCTTTCATTTTCTTCATTAATATCTTTATTATTCTTTTTATTATTTTTCATAATTTCATCAATCATTTCATTTGTTTTTGTTTTGTATCTTTCATTTTGATTTTTATCACATTCTTCTATTTCTTTTATTATACTTTCTGATTTACATACACATTCTCTAATTTCTATATATATATTATATACTTCTTCGTTTTATTCTTTATTTTATATTCAACTCTCATTTTATATAATGTGTTTAAATATCAAATAACATAACAAAATAAACAAAGAAAAATGCATCTAAATAATTTACAAAAATGAAAAAAAGATGCAAAATAATTTGCATCCATAGAATTTTCCATTTATTATATTTTGCTCATAAAATAAAAATAAAAAAATAAAAAATATGATAAATACAGAATATATAAATATTTATGTTTATATTTTATTATCATTTATATTCATTTTGTATGAAATATTAATGAAATAGATGATTTGATTATTCATATTTAATTATTTTTATTCTTTTTATTATGTTATTTATATGTTATTTATATATTTATTTTTATATTTATTTCTCTGTTTATATTATTTATATCATCTTATTCTTCTTATCTATATATTATTATATTATTCTTATTTTATGTTTTTTATGTTTATATTATTTAGATTTTCTTATTGTTATTCTTTTCTATTTAAATGTATTTTATTATTTGTTTATTCATCCTTATCATTTTTATATTATTATCATTTATATCTATTTTCATTTTATATTTATTCTCTTTTGATTTATATTAATATTAATTTTATCTTTTATACTTTGATTTTATTATTATATCATTGATTATCATTTCTCCTTTTATTTATCATTTCTATATTTATTATTCTTTTTTTCTATATTCTATGTTATATATTCATATCATTTTCATTTATATTTTATCACTTATTATATGTTATAATAACATAACACATATGATTGAATATATAATAAACATCATAATGAAGTTATACATATAAATAATAAACATAAAAAAGAGTAAAATATTTTTCATTAATAAAATATTGTTAATCATTTTACACAATTAAATTAGACACTTTTATTTCATATTTCTAATTTTTACAATAAAATTACACTTTTTATTTCTTCTTTTCTTATTTTATTACATCTTTGTGATTTATTATTTTTATATTCTTCTTCTACTTTCTTTTTATTCTTTATTATCTTTTATTCTTTTTATATATCTTTCTTTCTCTTCTTTTTTTCTAATATTTGTTTTTTTTTCGTTGCCTGTTTCTTCCAATAAATGAAGTATGTATTACAGTACTTTTAACATAAAATGAATGAAACAATACAATTGTAATTCAAATACAAATATCAAACACACAAATAAGAGAAATAAAAGAAAGTTCAAATAGAATAAATAAAAGAATGAAGAAATCATTAGAAAAAGATTAAATTGAATGAAATAATAAATGTAATAGAATTAAATGAAAGAAAACATTATGTAAAGAAATTGTTTGAATTTGTGACAAATGAATTAATTGATATTTAAATAAATGAAAATTGATGAATATATAAAAAGTACAAACTAAGCATTGAATGTTAATGAATTGACATTAACAACATGTGTTTATTGAATATAAAAAGAAATGTATTTCTCTAAATAATAAATATTCAAGAATATAGAACTATGACTAGAAATATTCATTCTAAAATACTCGGCATTGTTATTTTAAAATAATATTGACATTGTAATAAAAAGAATTAAAAAGAAAAACCAATTCATTAATAATAAAGAATGACTAGTTCTCATTGAATATGAATCAATAACATCAATTACTATTCATAAATACATACAACCAATAACAATTTGACCATATCTAATCAAATACATATTATAACACTTTTCTTTTATTCATATGGATGTTAAAAAACTGAACATTGGATTTAATGTTTCTTATTCAAAATAAATGAGAATTAAACAAATTTTGAATCAAAATAAACTTTTAAATAATGAAATAATTTGTATTTATTCTTTTGTGTATTTGAGTTTTATCTTCTTTTCATTCTTCTATTCTTCACTTATAGTTACTTCAATCCCCTTGTAATAAAAATTCTTGCAATCCAAGTATCTTTCTGCTACTATTTTCCCAATTGTACCACATTGTAACTTTTGAATTTTTACTAACTTTGTATCTTCTCCTATATTCCAAAAATTTATTATAGGTGATTTAAATGTTAATGTGGATGTAATATTTCCAATCATTAATTCTTTAATGTCACAACCAGAAATCTCAACCACCCTGAAATTAAATGTATGTAGGTCAATGCTTAATTGATTGTTCAACCCACATAATATTAGACTTTTTCCTCTTTTGATACTCAGACAGTTAATGTACTTTTCCTCATATGGTAAAGTGTTAGGTTCAGACAACCACGTATTTTTTAATACAATGACATCTAACCGAGTGTCAATACCAACTCTCTTTATTTTGCCATGGTCAATCCAAGACATCTTAAGTTTACTATTGTCAAATGAAAATACTTTTAAATCGTCAATACAAACCTCTCCACTAATAAAACATCTTTTTGTTCCCCGAATCTCTTTTAATCGAACTCCATTATTAACAAAACAAATATTACACTGCTTCATATTTAATCTTTTCACTGCAAGTGGTAATGTTAATTTATTCTTAACTTTATCTAATGAGATTTCAGTGACATTCATAAACATACTTAAATTTGTTTCAACTGATGTCTTGCCTTGATGCCTGAAAAAAAGCTTAGAAATTTCATACTTTTCTATTATATTTGCTGTTTGTTTCAAATCCTCTGTATTTAGTAATGTTGATTCATATGATTTTAATTGGAAATTTTTATTTTTTGTACTTATAATGAATGAATATTGACTAACACTCAAATATTCATCTTTTGGTGCTTCAATATCTCCTGAATAATAATGAATATTTGGATATGACTTATCAATTTTATTCTTATCGAGAATATTTTGTGTCTTATTGTTTGTTTGAATAAGATATAATTGTGCTTTTGAATGAGTTGAAATGAATTTTGTTTGAACTAAACAAAGAACATTATAGAAATCCGAATAAACGATAATTTTTTGTATTGATTTAATTTGAATTATCTTTTCTATTACAATAACTTCTTTATATTCAATTGTTATAGTTAAATGAATAAGATTTCTGTAATTATTAATTCCTTTAATAAATGAATAAATAATAGGTCGAGTTATTCTTATTTTTCTAACTTTTTCTGCAAACCATTTTGTTGAGAAAACTGTTGTAGGCAATCCTTTGTCCCATGTCCCAATTTCCATTAATGGCATATTACCTGCTTCTTTCATTTTTGGTGTACAAAATGACTTTGAACAATAATATGTTTGAAGTGCTGGAAATATTTTATTTATTTGACTGAATGTGTAAAATTGGCTTAGTTTGTATGGATTAATAAAAACTGTTGCTATTGCCTCTCCACATTTTTTGTTTATTTGATTAAAATTACATACATCATCCATTGTTTCTAAATAGAACAATACATTCTTTAAAAAGACATTTTCTAGACGAATAGTTGTCATACAATTGGATGAATAAATATTAGTTTTTAATTAAATTGAATAAATATCAGTGTTTAATGTGATTTTATTGAGTTTTTCTTATAAAAATATATCATTCTTCTTTGTATCTTTTTTAATTAAATAAATTCTTAATTTAACTAGTTTCTTATTAATTTTTTATAAATTAATTAAATTAGTTTTTATCTCTTAATTTACTTTTTTTTAGATGAGAAAATTTAACATTCTTTTATTATTTTTCACAATGAAATATTATCTTTTTTAAAAACAATACAAAACGCTTGTTTATGTCTATAAGAAATGAAGAGATAACTACGTTATTATCATTTAGGATTAAAAAGTTTTTTCATTTTTTTAAATTTTCTTTATATTAATAGAAATAATATTTTTGTTATTTATTTATGTTATTAACAAATGAAGAAATTTATAATTTGTTTTAGAGGTAAAATTAAATTGATAATCTGAGGTTATAAAATAAAAGAAAAATACAGAAATTGTTTTGATTATTGTTTTTTGTAAAGCCATAAATTTCAGGAAAAGGAAAAAGGAAGATATTGGTGCAAAAACATGTCACTCTAACACAAAATTGTTAAATCATTTTTTAATCAAAAAGAGAAAAAAAAAAGAAGAATTAAAAAGAAAAAAGAAAATATAGTTCATCTTAAAAAATTACAGAAATGCTTGGTGGATTATGGACATTCAATATGGATGATGGCTTTCTTGAAGCCTTCGTAAGAGGATTAAAAAGTGGACTTCTTAATGAAACAGATTATACAACATTAACTCAATCAAACACCCTTGAAGATATGAAGGTGGCATTACTAAATAGTGATTATAAAGATGTATTTCAAAACGAGCCATCACCAATTACTGTATCTACTATTAAAGCAAGATGTACTGACAAATTAGTTTCTGACTTTTTTACTATTCAATCACAAAGTTATTATCCATTAAGTAAATTTATGGAATTTCTTACAATTCCTTATATGATAGATAATGTTATTTTGCTTATTACTGGGACTCAAGGAGAAAAGGAAATGGAAGAATTAAAAGAAAAATTACATCCATTAGGTCTTTTTAAAAATATTGAATCTCTTTCTATTACTAAAACAGTAAATGATTTATATCATTATATTCTTATTGATACACCATTAGGAAATTATCTTAGTGATTGTTTAAGTGAAGAAGATTTAACAGAATTAAATATTGAAATTATTAGAAACACTTTGTACAAAGGTTATTTGGAAGAATTTTATGCTTTTTGCCAAAAACTTGGTGGAGAAACAGCTCGTGTTATGGGTGATATTTTAAATTATGAAGCTGATAGAAGAGCTATCACAATTACATTGAACTCTTTTGGAACTGATTTAAGTCGTGATGATCGTATGAAGTTATTCCCAAATGTTGGTTTACTTTATCCAGTTGGAATGAATGCATTAGCAGCTGCAACTGATATGGAGGGTGTTGTTAAAGCTGTTGAATATGTTCCAACATATAAGGCATTAATGAATTTACATGCTGCAGATGATGCAGGTGAACGTTCATTAGAAGAGATGTTCTTTGATGAAGAAGTAGAAATAAATAAAAGTGCATACTATACTCAAATGGGTTATGGTGTTTTTTATTCATGGCTGAAATTAAAAGAACAAGAAGTAAGAAATATAATGTGGATTGGTGAATGTATTGCCCAAGACCAAAAAGAAAAAATCAATCAAAACGTTATTAGATTATTCTAATTTAATTCTGAATACTCTTTTAGTTTTTTTATTATTCTTATAAAATAATTCTCAAAAACTATTAAATATTATAATGTCTTTTATTCTTCTTTTAATCATTTCTTTCTCTTTCGCTTTTACCTTTTCAGATGAAACAAACCTTGACCTTGTTGTTATGGATGAGCTTGATGACCAAATTGCAGAAAATTCACCATACAACCCAGCTGCTTATGCCAAAGCTCAAGAAGCTTTGAATAAATTATCAAAAAAAACAGTAAAATATCGTAAAACCCGTGATAGTCGTTTAAAGAAATCTGCAAAAGTTGCTTGTCAAATGACAGCACGTACTGCAGTTCATAAAGGCTCTCAAGACTTCCATTGAGAGAAAGGAATATTGAATTTCATTTATTCTCAATTTGGTTTAATTTCATTGAACTAAGTAATGTACATATTATACATATTTTTAATAAAGGTTATAGAGAAGTTTTAAATAACTTATTCGAAGACGCAAAAAATCAATTTGTTGTTCTGGTTTTTTAATTCCAAAGTTAATTCTGATATATTGATTTATTGTTGAATTGTTTAAATATTGATAATACATAAAATTTCCTTTTTCTTTTATTTCTTTAAATAACGTTAGATCAAATATTGGATTCCATTTTTCTAACAGTGCTGTATGTCTTTCTAATTCTTTTAAATATTTTGGGTTAAGTTCTAACTGTTTCATAAACCTAATTACACTTTCTACAAATACAGCTTCTAAAACAATTTCATCTTTTCTATGTTTTGTAATAAATGTGTTTACAACATTTTTTTGCATAATTTCTTCATTAACTGTGACATTAAACTCTTTCCAATTTTTCACAGTTACACCATACTTAGATAAATTATATAGTATTTTTTCGCTTAGTTCTTGTCGTTTTTTATGGAATAATTTATTGAAACAATTATGTAATATTTGGTCAATATTTTCTAATGCATGGTAATAGTTATTTTCTCCTATTTGTGTGATTATATCTTGAATTTTTAAATAAAATCTTTTGTGTGGGTAAATAGAAGGAGGATTAATTTTTTGAATAATCTTTTTAACCTTAAACACTTTGTTAATTGTCCTGTCATTTCTTTTCGATGGCTTCATTACTTGTTTTTAAATCCAACTTTCAAGTTCATTTTCTTAATTCTTCACTTCAATCTAATTTCTTTTTTTTCTTTTTTTTTTCTTGAACTACTTGATCAAATTCTAATACAGATTTGAGGCTTTTTTATTACTCATTTTTTTTTCTCTCTGTATTTCCTGAAAATATTAAAGCTTGTTGAATATCATACTTAGAGACTATCAGCTTGGTTCTATAAAATGGGATAAATTTTTAGGGTTTAGACTTTCAATTTAAACTGAGTGTTATATTTATTAAAAGGTATTGTTTGATACTTTTAAGAACAATACTCTTTTTCATGAAGATAGTTAAATAGGAGATGATGTCTAATAAAAACTATTAGGCAGTTAGATATAAAAACAAGAGTTTAAGGTTGTGCTATTTTCTTAGTGAAAATTTGAAATTTTTATATATAAAAAAACTATTCTCAAAAATAAAAAAATATCAAAGATAAAGACATTTAACTGAAGATAGTCATTTATTATTTTCAAACTTGAAGATAAAAGATTTTAGTATGTTTACTCAATCATCTAAATTATTTTTAGATTATTTATTATTGTTTTTATTTATAGACTCTTTTGGTTTTGTTCATCTCTTCAAATGAAGAATTTAATTTGTTGAATCTTATAACTACTACAAATAAAAGTTTATAACAAAGACTTTCAAATAACTTTTCAAAAAGACATATACAAGTTTGCCAATATTAAGAAATTTTTCTTAATATAAGCACAAGACTATCTAAACAATTTATATTAAAAAAATGAAGGCTTATTTATGACTACATTCTAGAAAGTGTCTTACCTTTTATAAATATGAATGAAAGGTGTTAATGAGCTTTTCTATTTTTGGATAAATATAAAATAAAAAATAGTCATTCTTTACAACGAAGGTAAATTAAAACACTTTTAAGCTTGGAACTTTAAAATACACAAAAGAATAAAAAAAATAATGGAAGCTTTATACCGAAGGTCTTGTAGAAAGTTTGAGGATAGGGAGGTTGAACGAGAAAAAGTTGAGCAAATCCTCAAGGCAGGAAGGTTTGCACCAACTGGAAGAAACAATCAAGAACTGATTTTTCATGTAATTCAAAATAAAGAGTTATTGCAACGATTAGTTAAAGAAACACAAGAGGCAATGAGAAAATCACCAGAGCACGCTATGATGGCTAATAACCAAATCACTTACGGAGCTCCTGTTGCAATTACTATGACGTGCAAAAAGGATATGATGAGATGGGCTGAATTTGACTGTGGATTTGCTTCACAAAATATGCTTGTTTGTTGTGAAATGCTTGGACTAGGGGGATTACCTCTAGGAATTATGAGAAGAACACCAGAGCCATGGTTGAAGGGATTGGGTTGTGGTGATGATGAAGTCCTTCTATTAACTATTGCTATTGGGTATAAAGATAAAAGTGAAGAGCCACATGAAAAAGAGTTAAAGAGTGAAGTGGTTTACATCAATTAATTTATTTCATTTTTGAGGTATTTTTGAGGATTTTAGCAACATTTATTTCGATGAAAGAAATAAGTATGAAATAGAAGTAAGTATTTGAGTGACAAAAGAAGAAAGAGGTGAAAGTAGTTTTATTCAATGGATAGAAAGTAAGTTCAAAGACAGATAGATGAAGGAGAAAGTTTTTGAAAGAAAAAGTCGAAGAAAGAACAAAGAGATAAGAAAATGCCACACATTAAGAGAAAGGAAATTAAGAGTAAAAGAAATGATGAAGAGGAGAATCAAGTATTACAAAGCAAAAGAGTGGTAATGAAAAGAAAAATGGTAAAGAGACAATAACAGTACGATGATTGAACAAAATGATGACACAGATTAATGAGAAGTGTGGAATGAAAACAATAACCAATGCAAAAACTAGAAGGAGGAATAAGTAAGAAATGAGATAAGAAGAAGACAAAATAGAAGGAACAATGAAAGGAGAAATGACATAAATAAAGCATGGAAAAGAAGCCAAGAACAAGAAAGAAATGAACTAAAGAATAAAAAATGAAAAAATGATAAAAGTGGAAAGATTTAGAAAAGACAGAAATCAAGTGAGGATAAATGTAATGTGAAAATCAAAACACATAAAACAGAGGAAGAATAAGAGAAGAAGTTTGATAGAAGTATTTAATAATGAAAAACATGAAAATGATGAGAATGATAAGACTTTTCCATGACGAATAAATATATATTTTACATATGAAAGAAGAAATAAAAAGGAATAACAGTGAATTATTTTAACAAACATAAATCATATAGAGAATGAAGACAACAAACAGATAATGATTATTAAAATGAATAGATCAAACAATGACAAAACAATGAAACACTGAATAATTTTAATACAAAGAAAATAATAATAATAAGAAAGCACTATTACATATGAGGAATATCTACTCAAATGAAGAAAAATGACAATGAAAAAAGAATTAACGAAAATATTTCATAAGAATATTTAATGAAGATGGAGTGAAGAAAAAGGAAAGATGGAAAGACAACTAAATGTCAAAGACAAAACAAAGTATCTAAATAATAACTGACAACATATTCAATGACTGTAAAGTGACAGAACAGTACTTATATTAAATTTGTGAGAAACAACATAAGAACTGAATTAATGATTAAAATAAAGTGACTACAACATAATGAAGTACATACATAAAGAAACACAAAGAAATAATAGATAAATGAATGACAAGTCTATATTTCATGATATGGAGAAATAGTTGAGAAGTTATTTGTGTACTACCGATGAAAATATGAACAATCCGAAATACAAGTGATAGTTGAATAGACTAAAACAAAAGAAAAAGACAATAGAAAGAAGTATAGAAAGTTATATAAAGAAAAGAAAGAAAAAGATAATAACAATAAATACCAATGAATAAAGTGAAAAATAGAATAAACCGAATCAAAAAAGAAAAAAAATACATAATAAAGATAATAAATAATGATTTAAAACAAATATTAAAATGATATAATTGAATTGTTTTTTTTTTCAATAATTCAAGTATTTACTATATATTAATACTGTTTGATATTAATGACTTTCTTTTATTCTATAATGAAATACTAATAATCAACCATTAATAATAATAAATAAATTTAACTTTATTGATAAATAAATTAACAATGATACTTAATATATTGTTCATTTTTCATATAGTTCATGTATTTCTCTTTAATACAACCATTTTCAAATAAAATTAACTTTTATCCAATTGATACATGTCCTTTCTTAACTCAATTTACTTTCACTAAAGTAGTTGTCTTCTCTTCTGTTCAAGTAATCTTTGGTTTTTTGTCTCCTTTTCTTCAATGTGTTCTTTCTTCATTTCTTCATTTAATCATATCTTTCAGACATCATCTTCATCATTTTTACTTTCTCTTTCCAACAACATGTCATATTGATATATCTGGTGTGTTATACCCATCGAATGATGTTAAATTATCATTGATTCTGTTGTTCCACTCTGATGAAATTAATACTGTCTCAAAAATTCACACAGTCTCAAAGCAACTTATCAAATCATCTCTTTTTATAATGTTCATTGTCCAATGGATATCTTTTCCATTGTGTTACATCACAACAAATTATATAATCTTCTATGGGATTGCACTTCTTTATTTTCTTCTGGTGATTTTTTCACTCTATCTGTCATTTTCATCACCATCATCTCAATCAAATCAATCACCAACATATGATGTATTGAATCAATTATTACATTCACTAACACAAAAGAGATGTGAATATACTAAATTAACAATTTATATAACATCTCAATACTACTCATTTGAGTATATTCAACCATTTCTTCAATCTTCTCATTTAGCAAACAACTATATTTTAGTCTTTGACACAATTGGTGATGATATTGTTCTTCTTTCATCAACATCAAAACACAATACAAATAATCAACTCAATAATGCAATTGAAGATGCTGCTGAAGCAGAAGGTATTCCACTTACTAAAAGCTCTTGTTCCTCACCATCTTCAGCATTACTTTCTCATTCATTTGAAACATCTGTTATAACATCAAAAGACTGTCATTCAATAATGAACAAAGATGAATCAAAGATTAAACAAATAGTGAAATTAATTAGTCGACTTGTGATTCAAGTCGATACAATTGGAATTGAATAAAAATAAATAATTGAGTATTAATCGAAATAATTTCTAATGTTCTTGCATATATGATGTTAATCAAATCATTTTATTTTCTACAAGTTCTACATTGAACATTCTATTATTTTATATTTAATGTTTAATATTATGCTTCATAGTTTTAATTATTTTGTTTTTACTTCTTTATTATCATATTTCATTTTTTCTTTATTTACTAATCTATTAAATGAAATTACTACTCCATTTATTTCAATATTTATTATTCTTTATTATTCTTTATTTCTTTTCATCAATTACTCTTCATTGATATTATGATAATACAATATGTCATATCATTTAATAGAATAATTTTCTTCTTTTTATATTCATTATATTTCTCGTTGTCTTTTCTTTTATTACTTTTATATTGTTTCAATGAATATTTCTAATTATTTTTCTTATTAATTAAATGTAATTCATCATTTATGTTAATGATATTATCTTAATTTTTGTATCTTTCATTCAAAACAGTATTTTATTTCAATTTCTTTTTATTTAATCTCATTTGTATTTCTTATACAACTTCTTTTATTTTATTGTAACATCATTATTTGTATATTTCATTTGTCTTTCTTCTATTTTCTTGTTAGATTCATTCCCTATTTTATTTCTGTTGTTTCTAATATTTTCTTTTTATTAATTTCTCATCTTATATTTTATGTATTTATTCTTTCTAATACTTTAATTTGAACTTTTTCTTCTTATTGTTTATTTATTCTCTTGTTGATTTTTATTTTGTATTATTTCTTTTGTTTAGTTCTTCTGTCATATTCATTTCCCTTATATTTCTTTTATTTCATCATTTCATTTATTTTATTTATTTTATTTTGGAAATAGAGATATGTCTAATTTCTTTTTCTTATCATCTTCTATTTCTTCATTTCTTCTACAATATATTTGTATTATTATTTTTCTTTTATTAATTCATCTATTCTTTTCTTTGAAATTAATAATTAATGTTTGTACATTCCTCTATTTTCATTCACTTTATTGTTGATATTAAAATATTTTTCATCATCATTCGTAGTGTTATTTTCTTTTTATTGTTTTATTATTGAATTATATTCTATTTTTCTTTCTATTGTTGTGTTGAATTTCATTGTAATGTACCATTTAATAGTTTTTTATTTTATATAACAGTTTCTTATTAATGTATTCACTTTCATTATTTATATTGATGTTTGTCATTTGTATTATATGTTCTTAATTTTTATTTATTTCTTATTTAACTATTTAATTCAAATTATTAAATCATTTCTTATTCTATTTCTTTCTTGTATTTCTTTTCTAAATATCATCTCTTGTTTTTTGATATTCAATACTTTGCTCATTTCTTCTATTTCTACTTTTATCTTTTTCATATGGTAGTTTCATTCTTGATAATGTTGATATTCTCAATACTCATTGTGTGTTTTTATCACAAATACCATTTTTCTTCTCAAATTCTTTCAATTTTATCAATTTTTCATTATCAACTTATTGTTTAGATATGTTTGTTTTTTTTTTCTTTTGTGTATGGTTTATTTCTTCTCTTGTTTTTCTGTAATCTCATGATTTTCAATTGTAATTTGTTGATATTCTGTGTTTTCTTAATTTCTTCTTCATTTCATCATATTTTCTTTCATTTTCTTTCATTCAATTCAGAGATAATGTTATTTCTTCTTGTTTCATATTTCAATGTTTATTCTTTCTATTTCTTTTATTTTACTTTCTCTTTCTGTATTTTCTTCTTTTCAATACAAGTATATTGTTTCTTTTTATTTGTATTTTCTTTTTATTCTCTTTTTATTTTCTAACTATGTTTTGTGCTTTTTCTATCATTTTATTTGAGATGATTTGTTCACCTTCCTTCTTCTTCATTTGTTATTCTTTAATCTCTTCTTCTATTTTCTTGTTTTGGTTTTGAAGTGTGGTAATTTCTTCTTTATCACTTTCTTCTTTGTTTTGTTCTTGTGGTTTTCCTTGTTTTCTGTGTTATTTATTATTCTTGCATTTTTGCTTTCATTTCTTTGTTTGAGTTTTGTTTTTACTTTCTGCTTCAAATGTTTCAATACATTGTCCATTCTCTAAATTCTTCTTTAATCCTCTCAATTGTTTTTTGTTTGAATATACTCCATGTTGATTATCAGATACTTTATTTACCTTCTTTCTTCTTGAGTATTTCTTCATATTCTCATTTCTCTATTCACTTCATACTCTTTCTGTTTTCTTTTTTTCTATCAGTTGTTGTTAGTCATTTATGTTTGTTATTTGGATAATCATTTTCATCAGTGTGTTTATCTGTTTCTTATTTGTTTTTCTTTGTACCTTTCTCTTTCTAATTTCTATGTATTTCTTTTATCATTCATACTAATGTAATTCAGTTTAATGAGAATGAGAATCAAACTCTTGTATGATGTTGGAATTCCATGAGTTGAATATTTTTCTTTACAATACACAATGATGTTAGTCAATAAGCAATGCAACCACAATTGTTAAGTTTTGCAATTGAAAAGAATTAAAAGAAAGAAAAGAAAGAAAAAACAAACTAAAAAAATAAACTAAGAAAAGAAATAATTGAATGAAGTTCCAATTTTGTGGAGGATTAAATGTTCCAGATTGGCTTTTAAAAGAAATTGGAACAGTTCAACGTCTAAGTAATGAAGAGGTTAATGAAATTAGCATAGAAATAATTAATAATATGATAAAGAAAGAAGGATTTAAGAAAGAAGAAATAAGTGACATTTGTGAAAGACGTCAATTGACGGAGTCAGATTTAAGAGGGATTATAACAGCAATAAGATTTGTAATATGTTCGTCAGCACAATACGATATTAGTAGTGAAGTATTATTAGAAGAAGAGCTTGAAATTGGAATGGATATAGAAATTGCAGAAACGATATCAAAAATATATGGAGAATATAAAGAAAGTTTACAAGGGATATTAACACAAATGACACTTAAACTACCACACATTCAAAATCAAGAAGGGATTCAATACAACGTCATAACAAAAGATGAAATTACTAATGAAAGTATTAAACCATATGTTATTATTCATATTAATACACAAACAAGTTCATTTGATTTAGTTCTTCAAGAAGATCAAATAGAAAGAATGATAATATCAATAAAAACAGCAATCCAAATAATGAAAAAAGGAATTAATTAAAATAAAAAGAATAAAAAGAATAAATAAATTAATAAATTAATATTAAATTTTCATTAATAATTAATTAATTAATTGTTTTTATTTATTTATAAGTCAGCAAAATTTTCAGGTAATTCATTAATTTGAGTTGAATAATATCTTTCTAAATCTCTTAATTCTTCCATTTCATTTTTTAAGACAAAATTGATAGCTATTCCTGTTCTACCAAATCTACCTGATCTTCCTATTCTATGAATATACACTTCTCTATTTAATGGCATATCATAATTAATGACTAATGAAATTTGAGTAACATCAATACCTCTTGCCCAAACATCAGTTGTAATTAATACTCTTTTTTCTCCTTTTCTAAAGATATTCATAATATAATCACGTTCTTGTTGTGGCATTTCTGAATGCATTGAAATTACTGGAAAATTCGCTTTCATCATATTTTCTGTAAGCCAATCGACTTTTTTTCTCATATTACAAAATATTACACTTTGTGTAATTGTCATACTGTCATAAATTTCACATAATGTATCAAATTTTTGTTCTTCTCCTTCCATTTCAATAAAATATTGTTTAATTTCTTCTACTGTAACTTCATCTCGTTTAATTAATATTTCTATTGGTTTATTCATTATTTTTGTTCCTATTTCTATAACATCAGGTGTAAGTGTAGCTGAACATAATACAATTTGACGTTTAATAGGTAAATATTTAAATATGTCATAAATAATTGGCATAAATCCTTTATTAAGCATTTCATCTGCTTCATCAATAACAAGTGTTTTGATATGTCTAACATTTATTACTCGTTTTTTAATTAATCCCATGATTCTTCCTGGAGTGCCACTTATTACTTGACATCCTTTTTCAATTGCTTTAATATCTTCTTTTTCACTTTTCCCTCCAATACATCCTCTTACTTGAATAGCCATATATTGTGATAATCCACTAATAACTCTTTCAGATTGAACTGCAAGTTCTCGAGTTGGTGAAATTATTATTACTTGAACTTCTCTTTTATTACTTTCAACATTTTGTAAAATCCCAATAGAAAATGTTGCTGTTTTACCTGTACCTGATTGCGATTGTGCAATAACATCTCTTCCTTTTGTTATTGGAACAATCCCTTTTTGTTGAATTCCTGATGGTTTAGTATATCCTTGTTGATAAATTCCTTTAAGTAATTCATCTTTTAATCCCATACTTTCAAATGTTTCATAAATTTCAATATTCTCTTTTGTTTTGTTCATTCTGTTTTATAAAAAATTTGTTTTCTTAAAAACAAAAACCCTTTTTTTTCTTGTTAATTTATTTATTTATTTTTAATTTGTTTATTTTTTATTTGATTTTCTGTAATGACGCTAAATACGTTTCTTTTGTAATAATTCCTTTCCTAAACCACTTGTCAAAGAATAATTGGTCAACGTCTTTGTCTAATTGAAAGCTAACAATCCTTTTAATATTTCTATCATTCAAACAAAAGTTAGTCATCAAATTCTTTTCTAAGTCTTCAATGTTTATTACTTTTTTTCCAAACAATGCTATTGCAATATCAACTGACTCATGAATAATATTTAATTCTTGTTGTATAAAATAAATCCCTGTTTCTTTTGAAATTAATTGTCTGTTACAAATTTGTGCTATCTTTTTAATTCTCAAATTATTTTCACATGTTTCATCCTCTGCAAGAATTGTTCCTTTAATATTATGAAGTAAATTATATTTAATTTTTGCAATTTCCTCTATTTGTGTTTTCTTTTCTTTTCTTGTTGATTTGTTGATTGCCTCTTCTTCATCCTTTTTAACTTCAACTTCCTTAACTTTTTTGATATTTTCTTGACTATTTCTTTTCTTTTTTTCTAACCATTTATACACTTCTTCTTTAGTCATTTCGTTGTCTTTTATACTTTTTAACTTTCTTTCAAACTTCTCTTCAAAGTATCTTTCTTTATATACAATAAATTGTTTTGGTTCAATGTTTTGTTCCAAACACATGTCTTTAAACTTCTCAAGTGATCCTCCTGTTTCAATTTCCTTTAGTTCCTTAATTAATTCTTGGCTGATATTCTTAAATCGTTTATTAACTTTTCTTTCAATGTTTTTGATTGTGGTTATTTTGTTTTTTTTTCCAAAAAGTATTTGGTTCGAGTCGGTTACCATTAAACAAACACTTTTTCCTGTATATTCTTCAATTATGTCAATCCCCAACACATTCCTATTCTCATACCATCTCACATGTCCATATATTAAATATTTTTTTGATAATACATTCATTTTAGATTTCAACTGACTACGTAGTTCTTCTTCTATATAGTCAAAATAGTCAATGAACTGATCAATGCCATTTTCTCCCATTTTCTGCTGATTATCTTTTTTAGTCTTTCTTTTTTGAATAATCTTAAATTATAAACATCATTTCTCCTTCTTTTTTCAATTTTCTATTTCATCTTTCACCTCTTCTTTTTCATTTTTGTTCATCTTTCCCACAATAAACTATTTTACCATTATTTTGTATGTTGACTATTTTCTTTGCTTATTTATCATGTTTGTATTAATTATTCTTATTTCTTTATTTCCTTTCTTTTGTTATTTAATCAGATATTTCTTATTACACTGAATATTGTTTTAGATGAAAGTTGAATATTGAACTTTGAAGTGATGTAAAGTGTATCAGATATTTTACCAAACAATGACATTATGCCATTGAGTTTTTAAATATATTTCATTATTTTTCATCTATTTAATTAATATCATTGAATGGCATTAATTTCTCTTCAAGCAAATACTTTATATTCAATTAATTTATTTCATGTGTTATTTTGTTTTCTGATTATGAATTAAATAGTAATGAATTTGTAATATTGAATGTATTTTTCTATTTATTTTTCTTTATAATGACTCTCTTTCATCTATAGTTTTCCTTGTATTTCTTTTATTCATATTCTCTTTGTTTTGATATATCTTTGAAATACTAAATATTACATAATATCTTTTAGATATTTTCTTCATTTCTTTATTCTGTTGTATATCATTTGATTCTCTTTTCTACAACATCAAATATATGTTGGATATCCATTTGTATTATTTTTTGTATTATAACATATTACTTTGTGTCTTACATTCTTTCATTTATTTGTTTCTTATATATTTTATTGCTTTGCTTACTTTTTAACTCATCCTCTTTTATTCAATTTATTCTTTATTTTCTTTTTATTTAGCATCCATCAATTCTATCATGTCTGTCTATTATTTCTTTATTCCACATCATAATTTGAAATACCTTTGTGTTGTAAACATTGTGAAATACATTTCATTTATCATTATTGTTGTTATACGTATTTAATAATGTATATTGTATATGAAACATATCTTCTTTTGTCATTCTATACCATTTATATACTTTTTGTTCGACATTTCTTTCTATACTTTGTTTGATCTTTCTTCATTTTCTAGAATTTCAATCATTTCATTGTTTGCTTGTAAGTTCTTCTTCCATTTTCTGTTATATTATCTTTTTTCATTCTTCTTTTTTATCATTTCTGTATTATTCATTATTTTTATCTTTCTTTTATTCATGACAACTTTCTTATTCCTTCATAATCAAATGAATATTGTTTTTGTTCATAATATGAATATGTTTCATCATTTTATAAATATTTCTCACTTCTTTTTAATTTATTATTTGTTTTATTCATTATTTCATTTCAATATTGGTGTTGAATATATTTTTATTTATAAATGTCTTTATTTCTTATAATTTTATTCATTTTCTTTAACTTATTCATTTTCTTTTTATCATATTTTCATTTCTATTTCTTCTTATTCATTTGTATTCTTTAATTATTCATTTTTATTCTCTAATTATTGATGTATTACATTTCATTTTATCATTATCTGAATCAAATAATATATCAGATATTCTTCTATTTATTTTACTTCTTCATTTCTCTTCTTTCAATACTTTCTCTCTTCTTCATCGCAAAATAATCATTCTATTTTCTATTCTTCTTTCAATTGATTATTTTTGATTGTCATTTTCTCTTCTTATTTCTCATTTTACCATTCACCACAATTTATTTAATTAAATGAATCATTGATTAATTCATCTTTTACTTTATTAATTGATTCTTCATCGTACTTTATCTTTTATCAAAGAGTTTATGACTTTCTCCAACACCAACATTCTTCTTTCTGATTCATTCTATCAAATATTCCATCTCCTCTTTTAATATTTTGTTTAATTAATTCATTCTGTTTTATTTCAAATACTTCAAATTAATATACATAAAACATACCTATAAAACATAATAATATGAACAAATGAATGATGAAATATTTGAATTGTTTCTACCACTTATTTAATTAATTTGTTATTAAATTTTCCATTTCAAAAACAATAAATATAAATTCAACATAAAATGAATAAATAATTAAATACACGATATTAACACAACAGTTAAGTTGTTTTTTATTATAACAAACATCATTTCATTTTTATTATTTTTGACTTACAACAACAATAATAACAATGTTTAGAAGATATCAACAAATGAAAAAATTATCTCCTTTTAATTGATGATATGTATTGAAACATATATAGAAAAGAAATAAAACACAAATATAAATTATTCTAATTCAAACCAAATAATGAAAATGGTAAATTTGTGATGATAAATTAATGTCAAAAGTCAAATAAAAGAATAAGAAATAAGAGATTATAGAGAAATAAGAGGTAATGATAATAATATATGAAACGAATTAAATTAATATGATAAAATGAGTAAAGAGAATAGATAAATCAAGCTCATTAATAAATAACAATAAGATGAAATAAGAATAAATAGAAAAAGATAAATATTACACAATAAGAAAAAAATAATACAAATAATAACAATCCAACTATCTGAAATATAAAATTAAAAATAAGATAAATAAAGAAAACAAATATGTATAAAGAATAAGATATTATGATAAAATAACGCAAGAAGTAATCTCTGTTATAGATTAGTAATGAAGAAAGAGTTAAAAAATAAATCAATTATGATTTACTCAATAGTTAGTATTTCAACAATTGGCTATGTAACTATCTCACTTTCTTCAATATACTTATTTCTCTTGTTTTAATACATTCAAATATCATAAACTTACATGGTTCTTCATTTATGTTGTTATTTCATTTTTTTGAGTTTAATATTTGTAAAACACTTTATTCTTTGTTTTCATATTTAAAGTTGAACATATCAAAAACTAATTAATAAATCCTTTTTCTTGATAGTATTACATCCTTTTTCAATTAAAAATGTCATTATCAAATTATACTTGCATAGTGGTAAATTAATACCATCACTTAATAAATAATAACTAATTAACATTGAATAAGTATTATTTCACAAAATGAAAGATTATAATCATATGATATTTAATGATTTAATATTTTGATGTATTTTAATGTCTGTATTGTGTTTGTGACATGCCATCTTCTAGTTTTAGAAAGCATTAAGTTAATTAAAGAATTAAAAAAAATTGAAATTGACAGACAGAAGAAATTAAAAATATTGATATTAAAAAGATGATTGATAATATGAAAGGTAATTTTTATCACAACCAAATAGAGTGATGACACTAAATGACAATAAAGAATTATTTAATCTGAACAAAACAAGAAAATAACATAAAAAATATTTGATTAACACTTAATTACCTCTTTTTTATCAAAAAGTGTTATAACATTTTATTATCAAATAATGAAGGTTAAAAAAAAAAATGGTATTATTAATAACGTTATGAACTAACATCAAAGAAATGTGAATTAACTAAAACCACAAACTAAATAGAATTAAATTGAATAGAAACTTATTTAAATCAAGGAGACATTGTATATTAAAGAAATACTTAATGCACTATTAATAATAAACACGTACTTATAAACAACCAACAAACAAGAATCCTCACAATAAAGAAAGAACAACTAACTCAAATAAAGAAAGTTATTAATGACTAAGTAAAAATATCGAATATTTAAAATTATAAACAGTTATTTTTCATAATAGATTTGCAGAACAATGATATTACTTATGTATAAATTAAATCAAGTATTAAAAACAGTACAAATTCATAAAATAATTAATTCCTAGGATTTATATCACATATTTGTGAATATATCTAATAATTTATATTTTTCATTTTTTTAGGAAAACCCTTTCCTAAAAATGAGAATAAAAACCTCAAAACTTAAAGGAATAAATGAAAAGACAAAATACAACACAAACAACACAATATCATCGAGGATCAATCATTCGAATTAAAATGGAAAGGTTTCTTACTTATGATTCAGTTGAAGTATTTCCAGGAAAAGGATTAAACGTTATTATTGGTCCTAATGGAGCAGGGAAATCTTCGATTGTATGTGCTATTGCACTAGGATTAGGAACAGCTCCAAAAGTTCTTGGTCGGAGTAAAGACTTAAAAGATTTTGTAAAAATAGGAGAAGAAGATGCTGTGATAGAAGTAGAATTATTTAATGGAATAACACGAGCGAATAATTTAGTTATTAGAAGACAATTTAATTTAAGTAATCAAAGCAATTGGTTTATTAATGGAAGAACAGCAAGTCACAAAGAAGTTTTACAGAAATGTAATGAATATTGTATTATGATAGATAATCTTTGTCAATTTCTTCCACAAGATAGAGTTTCTGCATTTAGTAGTCTTAATCCAGCAGAGTTATTAAGAGAAACAGAAAAAGCAACAGGGACTTCTGATCTTGAAGAAAAACATGACCAAATAATTAAGGCACAAGGTTCTATTGGTGAATTAAGAAAAAAATCTGCACAACAAGAGAAAGGGATTCAAGAATTAAAATATCGAGTAGATGGATTAGAAAAGAGTGTTCATGAGAAACATGAACAAGAAAGAAGACAAACACGATTAAATCAATTAAAGATGAAAAAGCCATGGGCTGAGTTTGAAGAAGTTAGAAAAAAAGCTGTTGGTTTAAGAGAACAAAAACAACAGTTACAACAAAAACTTGATTCATTACATCAAGAAATGACACCAGTTGAAATGGAATTTAATAAAATTAAAAATAAAATTGAAAGTGAAGATAAGAAAGTAAATGATACAAAGACAATATGTGATAAAAATGAACGAGAAATAATTATTGCAGAAACTCAAAAAGAAAAATTAGAACAAGAGCTTTCAAATAAAAAGAAAGAAGTAGAATTAGCAAAAAAGAGAAAAGAAGAGAAGAATAGAAATATTAATGAACTTAAAAA